TCTTTTATTATTGTATCAATTTCTATTATAGATTCATTCAATTTATTTTTATTTTTTTCATTACTTTGAAGATTGATTGTTAAATAGATAGTATAATAAAATACAAACTATTGATTCTTTAATGCAAACTATTCATTGTAATTTAAATACATAATTTATTGAACCTTTACTTAGAGCTATTTTATTTATATATAATTAACTTTTAATTTAAAGAAAATTCTTATAGTTACTATATTAATTAGAATATAAATTTTAATTTTTTTTATAAAAAAAATCCTAGTTAATAAATTTAATTGATTTATTTATTTATTTTTTTTATAGTTGAAAACATCAATACTTTTTTTTTTTTAAAAAAAAAAAGAATTAGACAATGAAATAAAAAGGATGAAACGTTCACATAATTTGAAAATATACTAAAATATGTCTAAATAATTATTAAAACTTTAGATATTATTAGTAATCTGAATATAAACCTATTTTTATTTTGGTTTAAAATAAAATTAATTATATGAAAATGAATTAATAGAAAATGCATTATTTATTCCCTGGTTAAGTTAGATATTAGTATATTATTGGTCAAATATCATATGTCTGAAGATTTTGAATATTTACAAAACTGTGAAAATTTTATTATATGTTCCTGCCATAACAATATTCAATTAGTATTATAAAATTAAAAAATGTGATTGATTTATCATAGATTTGAATTAATATGGAATGTGTATAGTCATCAGTTTTATCAGATTCACAGAAAATTTAGTTATCACTTATAGATAGATTTGTATATATAAGTTATATAAAAGTTACCGCATATAGTATGATTCATTGAATTATAAGTTTTCAATTATCATGTAATATCTATATTTATGATATAAAAAATTTTCTGATAATCTTTTTTTAATATAAAAAGTTTATCGCTAATAAAAAAAATATTTTTTTTTTATGATTCATGTCAAAATCAATTTACCTCTTTTCCAAACTTTTAGGAATTTATTGATACTAAAAAAGTTCTTTATAAATACGGTAAAATTATTTTACTTAGTATTACTTATTAATTTTTTAATTTTTAAAACATTCACAAAATAATAATTGTATATATCATATTGACAAATAATTAAGTATAAATGTATTTTTTTTGAAAAGCAAATCAGAGAAGAATGATATTAATGATGAAAAAAATGATGAAAATAGAAAAAGATGTATTTTTATGTGTCAAAATCTCTATGATTTAGACTATATTAATTATATTATAAATAGTTCTACTAGCTTTAGAGTGGTAAAAAACCTAAAGTTATAGCAAAATAACTTTTTCAGAAAATTTTTAGAAAATACTTCTTTTATTAGGAAAAAATTTAATAAAAAAGAAAGAGAAGAATTTGAAAAGGCTTTAAAATCTGAAGCAACTTGGCATTTAGATAAAGAAGATTTAGCAATATATCATACGTAATATAAAAAAAACATATAATGAAAGTAAAATATATAATAAATGTGAAGAATTAAAATCTAATAAACGTTTAAATAAAGCAATTAAATCTGTAAGTTTTAATAATATATTTAATGTTAATTTTATTTTTGATTTATTTTTTATATTTTAAAAAAATTAAAAAAATTTATTAAAAAGCGGGCAATTCATAATACTGTTAAATTTACTCTTTATTATTATTATAATGAATCATTATTAAAAATACAAACTTGTAACAAATTTGAACTACTACAAGTAATAAAAATAATGATGCAGAATTTTGGATTAAATTAGCTCAAATGGGTTTAAGTAATGCATTTAATGAAAATAGTATTTTTACTGATCTTATATCTTTAATAGTACAAGTTAAAGAAAAAAATTAAAAGGTAAAAGTTCAAATGGATTTTGATATTTCTGAAAATTTAATGCATTTTTTAGTTTATTATCTAAGAATAGCTGAGAGTATGAAATTTTTAGAAAGGCTTTTGCTAGACTTTCAATTTAAAGAATTCAGTAGTTATTATTTTCTTTTATTCAATATTTTATTAAAAAAACATATTATTAATTATTTACTTTACAAAAATAGACAAATTTGTAAGAGAGATTCTATTATAATTACTAATTTTGATTTGATAATGAAAAACTTTATGAAATTTTTACAAATTATATTGAGTATTAATTGGAATGATCTAATTATAATTATGATAGATTATACTAAATTATGAGAAAACTCGTATATGCTGAAGAACTTAACTATATTACTGGATCAATTTTATTGCATTTAAAAATAACTGTTGAAGTACTTAAAGATATACATTCTAAAATTAATTATATTTTAGAAAGAAATGCAATTGCTACATAAGTTCGCAATATAATATTAAAGGTAATTAATTTTTAAATTTGTATAATATTTAATAATAAGTTTAATTAATTATATCATTTATATTTAGATTTCTATTGAAAAAGTTCTGCTAATGATAATAGCAATGATTCTTATGAAGGGATAATGAAGGAGCTAAACATATTGCACATTTAATACGTCAAGTAATTGAAATGGCATATAAAGCAAATTTGAATATTTTAAATTTTAGAGCTGATGATACTAAATCTTAGTTTAATGCACAGTCCATTATTATGAATGAAGCATCAAATTTCCTTGAATATAAAGATTTTTTCTATAAAATTCACTTTAAGATACCAATATATAATAGTAAACCATTTATTAGAATCTAAAATCCAAAACATACAAAGAAAATAACTAGAAATCAAATATTTTTAAAAGCAAAACTTTTATCATTTACTATATGCTATGATCAACTTTTTGAATTAGTCATAAATTTCAACATTTTCTTTTAAAACAGGATGTTCTTAATATTAATAAACAAGATAATAGAGCTGCATTACATACTTTTATTCAAATAATTTAATGCTTATTTCAGTTAATAAAACTTTAACTGATAAAACAATTGGACTTTTTGTGTATTTATTTGTATTAAGTAATTATTTAAATTATTTTTGATTTAATTTTTAAGTAATTTATTAATATATTTTATTTTTAGGAGAATTATGTAATACTTATTTAAATAGGACAATCAATCATAAAACACGTATTGAAATGGTATTATATGTTTATTTTTTTTTAAATATATGGAGAAAATATATTGAAAACTGTAGCATATAATATTCAACAAAATGGTATAATTTACAAAAGAATTTTATTTCAATTCAAAGTTACAATATTTTTATTAGTATAATAGAATCTTTAATTATGCTAATAATAGCACATTATGAATACTATTTACAGTTTCCTTTATTTTCATGAGAACATGAAACTGAGGCTTTAGAACATATATTTGGAATTTCACAAAGAATACTTCCTGATTTTAATTTTTATGAGTTTTTTAAAATACAACAAAGAATTTTATATTGTGATAAAATTTCACGAGCAGGAATAATTGATACTAATAGAGATCGAAATTTTGCAGTAGGTATTTATAATTTATTTCTTGTTTAATTTTTAAATATTAATAATTTAAAATAATCTTTATTTTTTAGGTTATGTTTTTGATGTAGATGATACATCACTTTCACATGAAATAATTGAAAAACTTTGTACATGGCCTACTAATGATGATATATAAGAATGCACTAAGTTCACGATGATGAAGCTATATAATTAGCAAATATATTCATATAGATAGTCACGAAAATTTTCAGTTTCAGAATTTACTGCATATATGAAAAAAATGACAGATGTTGATGATATTGAAGATAAATTGAATGGTAATTAATTAATTAATATTATATATATTTAGTTAGCTAATTAGTTATTAATTAATTATTTATTATTATATAGAATCAATGAATAATACTCCTAGTAATGAAATTGGTTTAAATCGTTCAATTACAGTTGGTAATGCAGCTCTAGAAATAGCACGTTTATTATCAAATTCACAAAATGAAAATAATCAATTACATGAAGAGGAAAATTTGGATGATAATGAAGATGAAGAAGAAACAATACAACAATTACCATCAGTTGGAGAATTTCCTGATATTCAATATATCATTCAGCATCCTCAACCTACTCCTGTTATCTTTCATCCATTTCAACAATTTTTTACAAATGATATTTTAAATGTTGAGACTCTCTTACAAATTCGTCAAAATCATGATGCATTTTCACGCAATTTGAGATCTAATTTCAATAATTTACATCAAATTACAATTAAAGATAATAATAAAATTAGTGGAAATGTTATTAATAAACTTATTACTGAAATAACAACAGACAATAATGAAAATCAAAAGAGAAGGCGTCGAGATCGATGGGAAGGAAGGAAAAGATTAGAAACATTACCAAACATTATTTTAGGCAAATTTTTTACGTTGCAATTTTCATTACATAAAAATATATTTTTGTTGATAATTATTATTAATTAAATTTTTAGTAACAAACCTTGGATTGGCAAACATTTCTGACCTTTATCCTTTATGTAAAGATGCATTTTTAATAGTTTATTCCAATAGAATTTTATGTTTGGGAAAAGTTATCGCAATGTATGAAAAATGTGGACAACGACATGCATGGATTAAAAACCAGTTGGATTTTTAAATAACTTATCATATATTTCTATTGAAATTTATATACAAGTATCACATCGCTTTTTTTCTTGTGAAAATTCAGTAGGAGGAAATATTACAATACATATTACTCCACGTGAAATAGTTTATTTTTTGGGAATTCGTTTATATTATCTGATTAACCTTTCGACATATGGAAAAAAAATTTATAAGATTATTGATATAGTAACATGCATTATATAACTACAGGGATTCGTGGTTTATTTTCCCACACCATACCACATAGAATAAACATACAGAGCCTGAATTATGGATGACTTTATTATGCTATTGGGGACGATTTTTTTTTTTTTGCATGAATAGTAGTTTAACAGCAACTAGGCTAAGTTATATCATTTTTTCGCGTGCATATTTTGTGATAATGCTGGTAACCTTCGAATTTGTTTATAGTGAATTATGTGTCAAATGACCACGGCAAAGAAATAGAAACAAGAGGTGGTGATGTTGTTACGCTTCTGTTGATCATTTTGCCACCGTTTATTATCTCTTGTATGAATTCCTCCTCAGTTAAATCTGGCAACTTCTCATCTATGACCTCAATACATTCCATGACCATTTTCTGAAGTTAAACAAGGTTGTGTGCTGTATGTCATTGATGTGTAAATGCAACATTAAGAAACCAACGAGAATAGTTCATACCTTTGCCCTCCAAACACTTATTAAGACCATGAATAAATTCTTTATATTTTTTATTTGTGTCGGGATTTCGTTAAGATCTTCTCCTTTGAGAACGGATATGTATCCCTTTGTAGATGACATTCGATTTATTTGCAGTTTGAGCCCTTCAATCGAAATTTTTCAGTTATTAAACTGAATAATAACTTCTCATACGAAACAAATTTCGCATACCTGAATGTTGAAGTCCAACAACCTGTAACTGTCGAATTTTATCTTCATTTGATTTGACCAGATGAGTCAAACAAACCAACATATCATGCATGGATTTGCTTAGCTTGAGTCTGTCTTTAAGCCGTTCCGTAGAATTTATTTGGACAAATGATGACTTCACCTCTATCGCCCCATACTCTACATTGTCGTTATAAGTTCGTAAAATTCCGTCAAGCCGACGTCCTAATTTTGCCCTTTCCTTTTGGGTTCGTTTCCGATTTTTTCTTCTTGATACAGCAATACTTGACGAATCTTTCCTATAACACGAATGTTATTAGAATCTCTGAACTTCAGTAATTGTATATGAAGTTATATACCTAACGGTTTGTAACCCTCGAATATTGCTAAAAGCACAATCGATGATCAAAGACCAAACGTTCGCATCATACCAGCCTTCTAGGTGAAACAATTTGAGACTTTCATCTGGGTCTTCGTAATACATTAGACTATTTATAAAGTATACATACATTCATGAGGATTTCTACAATATTAGGGGTTAAGCATAAAAAAAAACCTACAAGCGCCTCATTACATGATCAATCCATTCGACGTCAAAATGAATTTCCCGGTCAAACAGTTCGTTCTTGTTTCGACAGGATGTCGTTTCCAACACTTTTCTTAAATCAGCAGTTGTTCGGATCTGAAATTCAGCAATACACAACCTTTGTTTAAGAACAGGGAGAGAGAAGAGAGGAAGGAATTTGTTTACTCACATTTCTAAATCTTGACAACGTTTTAGCAACACGCTCGTATAGTTCACGGACCTCCTCCGTAATTTCACACCAATCATCATCAGTGAACAACTGTTTGATTTCCCAATAACTTAAGTCAATTATCCACGAGTGGATTGAAGATTCAACTGACAATTGTTTTCCTTTGTTGAAGAGAACATCTTCAACGCATATGCCCGAAGACAATATCCATTTCTTTGATTGGCTCATAGCGTTGTAAGAATCAACAAAACACTCAAGTTTTGATGGGAGTAACAACGGTGCATGCTTTGTAACATCTGTATCACTGGAAAAGAATATGGAAATGAAGTTGTGACCAAAAAAAAAAATCAAAGAATTGTTATACAATACCTTGATAAATACTCCGATTCTGAATCCTCAGAGTCAGATTCATCAGCTTCCTCATCGGTTTCGTATGAAATGTCTTGTTTCTGCCGTTTCTTAAACAGATTAGTTGATTTTCCTTCAGAACTCTGAAAAAAATTATCGATCTCGTCCTACATAAAAATACAAGGTCAATATCATGAAATGACATAAAAATAAGTAACATTAACTATTTCTGTACTTTTTGATCTCTTTTACTTTCAGTCAATTTATTATCATTGATAGTTCCAGAGTTATTAACTATAGCGTTCCCTGCGAATGTTGAGTTGTGTAGGTAAATTGAAGATCCACCAATCGTTCTGTCTGATTTGCGTTCATCCTCCCATTTTCTTGCAACTTGACGATCTGGTCGAGTATCCTGGAATGAATGATAGAATTAGCAATTTACAACGCATATTTATAATTCCTCATCCAATTTTTTTCGTCCCGTCAGATCGGCTAGCAACCTTGAACATCTGACGACCTAGCAAGTCGCCCATGCTCCAACGGGGTCAGTGTAGAGTCGGCTAGCAACCTTGAACATCAGACGACCTAACAAGTCGCCCGTGCCTCAACACTGGCTTTATGGCTCGGCTAACAACCTTGAATGATCGACGACCTAGCAAGTCCCCGTCACGCCAATTATTTTCATTTGCATTCATTTCAAAACGAAAAAATTACTTGCTTCTCTATATCTATCAAGAAGAATTTGCGCCCTTTGAGACCTGCTCCCTTGTTCGCGTTTAACAAATATCTTGGAGTCTTTTTAGGTAACGATCTATTTTTAGTTCAAGTGGTTCTATTCTAGAAATCCAGTTATGTTCCATTCGGAAGATTTACGATCGAAATAATCGTGCGTTCTGTTTGACATGGTGAGAGCTTCTGATATAATTGTATATTTCTTGGGTTTTAACTCAGTGTATGAAATCTATTTGCGGAATTTGCGGAGCGCAACTTGTTTTTTGATTTCCGCAAATTACACGTGATTGTGATCTGCGCATCGCGCAACCTCAATTTTTATCCATTTAGGTAATTAAATTCTCGTGGAATAGAGCCCACGGATTCGTGCATTTGCATAATTTCGCATTTATGCACTATAATTCCGCATCACACATGCATCGCACTTTTAAGGCAATTTTATCATTTTTTGCATTTTCACGTGACCTATTATGTATTTCCCACCAATTTTTTGAAAAACATAAAATTCTCATTCTGCTTTACCATTATTCAATGCATTACTATCATCTCAAACTTTTTAAATATTAAATTCAACAAAAAAAATAAACTAACCAAAACTGTTTTGATTTTAATAAAATGGATGATAATTGTTAACATAAATTTGAAAATAAATTAGACGCGTTCCTAAATAGTAGTTCAATTAAAACAATCAATTTCACAACATTTGAATGCAGTCTCTTCTCAACAAACACTGGACTAATTTCAAGTTCTCATTATAAAATCTGCAGAAAAAGTTATCCCAGTTAGAAAATCTTTAGGATAATTTAAATATCCCAGGACTTTAGTGTTTTTAAAACTCTATACACATTAGAAATTTCTTTTACAAGTTTAAACAGTTGCTAATTAATGTTAAATGAGGCAGTTCTTTTCTATAAATTGGACTCACTCTTATGATAAATTTATTGACATTACCCATCTACTATCCTTCGTAATAGCACATCTCTCACCTAATTATTCATTTACTTTTGTAGAACTATTATTATCAGATACAAATTTGTTACTTAACGTAATTTTATGTAAAACTAAATTATACAAAAAGATTATAAATTACAATCTATATAATAAGTACTAAATTAACGTTTAGATAAATATGCTAATAATTCAACAAAAATGATTGATTCAGCCTTAAATTATTCACAAAAAATTATCATTTTAGATAGATATTTATCAAAAAATTATAATTCACAAGAACTTTTCACAGATGAGATACATGTTAAACAAATAATAAATAATCATTTTCAAAGAGCAGCTAGCATTACCCATGAACTCAAGAAAATTCCATATAAATGAGCTTTGATCTATTAACTAATTGCTGAAATTAATTTAACTGTTTATAATGATTTAATGTCACCTTCTTCTGCTAATGAGTAGTATTCAATTATTAAGTCTCTATTAGATGGGAAAGTACTAGAACCTTTCAAAATATCAAATAAAATGCTCAAGCTCAACCTATCAGCAAAAAAGATTTTTTTGCAAATAATTATATTTGTTTAAATTTATCCTTATTTATCTTGACGTTAGAATTTAGTATATGTATATCTAATTTCTAAACTGAAACCTTAAGAATTCAATCTTAATAATATAAGACTAATTACTTTATTAGAATATTTTAAAAAAGCTCTAATTAAACTTATTAATAGATACTTGTCAAGTATTTTTATCTAAAATAATATTCTCAAAAATAATAATTTTGCAGGATTTCTTTTTCACTCTACTTTTAAATCAGTGTACATATTAGACAATATAAAATATGATCTATATCAAACAAAAAAAATCTGTGGATCCTGTTGTTAAGCCTAAACACTACGTCGTTAGGATAACAAAGCTTATTTGCTAACAGGGAGTTTAAATGGTAAACTATG